TTTTGTATTTTTAGTAGAGACGGGGTTTCACCATGTTGACCAGGATGGTCTCGATCTCTTGACCTCGTGATCCACCCGCCTCGGCCTCCCAAAGTCCTGGGATTACAGGCTTGAGCCACCGCGCCCGGCCAAAACTCTTTATCATTAAAACTCATTAAAAGTTTCTGTTTTCTTGCTCACTGTTGCTTTATCCCAGGCTTTTTATAGCACCCTTATACCACTCTTTCATGGAATATACAGTCTATCACTAAAATAAACTGATTTTCACTGACAGAAAAAGAATCAAATGAAGAGAATTTCTCAATTTTGAATTTTGCTCCCAGAAACTAATTTTTAGTGTCTGCCAACAAAATAGCAGGTAAATATTCCCTTTGGATGAAGAAATATTTTTTAAATCCCCCGAATTCAGTTTACTAGGCTTGTTTTTGTCGTTGCACACCCAAATGTCCAAAGCACATTTGGAATTAAAATTTTATAGATCTAACTTTTAAATAACATGTTAGGTGTAAAACTGTTCTTAGGTTTTTTATTATTTTAATTTTAGGTTTGGGGTACATGTGAAGGTCTGTGACACACTTAAACACATGTCACGGGGGTTTGCTGTACTTACCACCCAGTACCCAATTAAGCCCAGTGCCCAACAGTTATCTTTTTGCTCCCCTTTCCCCTCCCATTCTCCTCCAGTGTCTGTGTCTCTTCCTTTGTGTTCCTAAGTTGTCATTTAGCTCTGATGTTCTCAGTTTGGGTGTCTCATGGCTTCCAGGTAGGTGCACACTTTACCACATGGACACATTTCAGAACTGTTGCTTTAAATCTGTGCACACTTCCCACAGTCTTACCACTTGTCTGCCTGGTGTGTCTTGCAGATTGTCAGGCTATAGTAATTTCTGGTATTTTATTTTGATCCTGTGTTCTGCTACCAACTTCCCAGGTTTGTCATGTACTAGACTCAGTGACATGCCAGGTTCAAACACTGTTTTTTTTTTAGTTAGATTTTTCCCAAGTTATTAAAACATATAGCTTTCTACAACAATACAGTTGTCAAATCAAAGTCAACACAGAAAGTCCTACTTTCCTTTTTTCCATGAGAAGAGCTTAATTCTTTAGTCTTGTCAGTTAGCTACAGATAACAGTTCTGAAATGTGTCCATGTGGTGGAATGTGTACCTGGAAGCCACGAGGCACCCTGCACAGCACCCTGCACAACACTCCAAACATTGACAGGCATAAATCTTGACAGAAACTAAAAACAATTTTATACATAACATGTTCTTAAAAAGGTTAGCTATACCTTATAAAACCTTAATTCCAAATGTGCTTTTGACATTTTTTATGTGTATTTATGGAGGTTTGACCATGACATTTTGGAGATATTCCAACTTAAATCTTTTATGATTTTCTTAGGCTTCAATAGAGGCCACAAATAAAACATAAAAACATTTCTTATCATCTTATGACTCTAAGAACAGTAATCTCCGGCCGGGCGCGGTGGCTCAAGCCTGTAATCCCAGCACTTTGGGAGGCCAAGGCGGGTGGATCACGAGGTCAAGAGATCGAGACCATCCTGGTCAACATGGTGAAACCCCGTCTCTACTAA